GGAGGTTAACCTATAGTGTGCTCTAAAGAGAGGCTCTTTAGTGTGCTCCAGTGGCTCCATTTTTACACGCACAAGTTGTAAGTTATTTTTTGAGGCCGAGTAAATGATGCCCGTGATGTAAACTTGGCTCACTGTCATTTTTGTTGAAAAGGTGTTGAATGGGTACACTCCTCCATTCCATGCAGTATGTTGAATACTGCTGCAGGTCATTTGCAAATGGGTGAACTGTCAGAGTGTTTTATCATATATCATATATTTTACTCTATAGTATTATCGTGGAACAGAAAACTTTATTACTTTCTGGCTGGGCTGCAAACCGAGTGGTACTATTTGCGTATCCCCCAAAGAATCAGTCAATGTGCATTGCAGCTAATTTGAGGCTGCTCCTTCATACTTAATGCTTGAGTCCAGTGCCAATAAAAATAAGTTATTTGAAAGACCATGGTCATTTAGAGACATATGGGGGGAGAGGCATTTAAAAGTTTACTGTATGAGTAAATTATAAGTTATTAATAGTTGATGAGTGCTAAAAGTACCGTTTTATATGATTGCAGGAGCTATGCCCAGAAATGTTCTTGACATGAGCAAAGAAGTCTATGGAGTCATTTTACCCCAAAGAATAGGTGAGTTGACATGACAGTAACCGACACTGGTCCAATTTGTCTCTGTACAGACTCTATGAGGAGCTCCCTTCCGTGTGCATAAAAGGGTGGTTTTTGTGGTGCCTTGGTTCTTTGTTGTTGATTTCAATCCTCCTGCTCTGTCAAAATCCAGGCTGATTTCACTGAAAATGTCTTTTAAATATACAATTTGGAAAATTGCTGGAGTGGTTTGGATTGGTCTGTCTAAATATCATGGTGCCGACCCACTACAGCAGAGTTCTTGGTCAGTGCGCATTAGGTAGCCTACCCACCCATAAGTTAGAGAGACCAGCTCTTAAAACTCAAGTTTCTGTGAACTGGGGTATGGTTTCTTACAGAACCAAAGGTAGTTTTGTGGTCCCTGGTTCACTCCTGTCGATTCGAATACTCTCTGTCGAAATCCGGACCCTTTGTATTTTGCCCAAAATGAAAAATTTGAAAATCGCTGGAAATGGTTGGGATTGGTCTGACTGCACCCCCTTTCAATCTCTCCGTCGAAATTTCGCGCCACCCGTCAATTTCAAGTGAGTCACGCCTGTTTTTCTTGGACCGGTTCGCCTGCGAGGTAGGCAGCCCATCGTACACTGCCCGCCAGATTCAAAAGACCACCTCTTAAAACCCAAGTTTCTGTGGACAGGGATGGTTCCAGCCGAAACCGAAGGTAGTTTTGTGGTGTCCTGGTTCACCCCTGTCGAATCAAATACCCCTCCGTCGAAATCCGGACCCATTAATTTTCGCTGAAAGCACGTGTCAAATATGAAAAATTTGAAAATCGATGGAAATGGTTGGGATTAATCTGGGAGAGTCACCTTTGACCTCCTCTGTCGACATTGCCTGATTCCTGACTCTTTTACATCCTGTTTCTTTGACTAAAATCAACTCTTTGTTTAGGCAGGCACTAGTGGCGCTGTTGGCGTTTCCTCAAAAGTGATCACAAGGGG